TCTTATATGTGCAAGTATAAAACTGACATAAGCAAAATAACTGTAATTCTCTAAACTGCAAAAACTTCTGTAACTCTTATAGGCCACTGGGCAGTCAAAGTCACTGTGACCCTCAGCACAGAGAAAATGGAGAGCAGGAATTCTTTGTTACAGCTCCATTTTTACTTATTTGGTATATTTCCAGTAAACAGCAATCAGGGTCAAATACCTTCAACTGTGAAGAAACTTTATGGCTCTGGGCAAGTGCCACTTTGAATGATGGTCAACTAGGTATAGAGTATGCAAGGATTAAATAAAGTATTAATTATGTTTTTTTAACCCAGCAGAGATATTATCAGGAAAAATTATGGGTGTAGCTGAAGCATGCAATAGTATTTTAGAGAACATACGTATCCATTATGGTTGCTGAGAGTATCAAAGTAAATGACTCCAGTAAACCTAGTAATTACAGGCTGGTTATTAATAAAATTAGCTCCTCTGGTCCAAAATTTTAACTCTGTCTGCCCTCAGAACTATACAGACACCCAAACAATAAAAGCTTAGATGTTTATACTGCACATTTCACCTCTTATATAATGTACATTTATCAGTACAAGGTTATGTAATGGAATGTTCTTACTTCATAGGAAAAACAGACTCATAAAAATAAATTGCAGACATTTTACAGTAGAAAATGGTACTTTTCTACACAACGCAAAAAAGTGGTTAATGTACAATAGAAAGTGCATTGCATGTGATGAAATGCATTTTTTTGTCTAGCAGATATATTTATTGTGTGTTGAAAATTGTAATATCTTCCCCTGCACAAAGAAATTTCTATTATAAAGCCCATTTGCTATTGTAGGGAGTGAAACCCTTTTTCTTGTTTACTAAAGTCGTCTATCTTAATATCAGCTCACAACACTGTCAAGTTCACTTAAGAAGAGCTATGTGTAGATAAGAATTGGGCTGAATCAGAAACCAGAATATTTCATTTCATCTGTTTTTCATATCTAAGCAAGTGCTGTGTAATCCACTACATCTGGTAGCAATCTCTTTTTGGAACGTTTTCTTCTTTTCAGAAGAAAAAGCTAAAAATTGGTCAATTTGAAGCTCTCATCAATAGATAAATCTTTTGCCTTTGAATATGTTTATGCATAAGTGAGGATTTGTTTCTCTAGTATGTTTTGAGCTAGAATGTGAGGTATGGGCTGGAAAATCAAACATTGTCTTCAGGTGGAGATAATGTATGAAAACCATTGTGGGCCGTTTATTAAACAGACATTGATTGTTACATCAAATTAACATATCATGCATCATTTTTACGACTTACAATCACAGTAAATCAAGTTTCACATAGGAAGTGCTATGAATTCTTAGGATATTTGTCACTTTCTAAGCTGAGCAGTGACTAAATAAGGTTCTGCCACCTCATTATCTGTTCCTTGAGCAGATAAAAGTAACTTTGGCTCAAGGCATGCCAAAGAATAGGCTTTGTGGTGCTGGGCCTGGTAAGTGTAGGTAGCAAAGGCGAGACGGTGAAATCCAGACTTGCCAGTCTACAGTCAAGTATTTTGCATTGCTGCTTATTACTAGGGGCTGGTCAATGAAGCTTCCAGACTTTTGGTCATGGAAGGGGTAGATCACCTGGTCACAGAGACACTATAGTGAGGTATTCAAGAGCATTTTACTCTTCCCAAGTGAGTAATCATATGACTTAATCTCTGAAATAGGGATAGTAGTAATACCTATCTCATAGCCTGTAATTTTATCCACTGACTAGGTCTTACTAGGTTATCTAAGATTACAAACGCTTCTAGCAAGTTTTCAATCTCATAGCCTCACACAGGCCACTGCCAACTGAAAAGTATTTCCCTGAGAGGTTACCACTAACATATCAAATAGAACCACCTTCCTGAGTCCTCCCTGGAAAAACAAATATCTTAATACATTATAACAGGAAATCTCCCGTGGTCCCAAGAGTCCAGTGCACTGTGCAGAACTCCAGATTCCCGTGGCCTCACTGGGAAGTTCGAGGGACTCATGAAATGAATGAATAACCAGTAAAGTTCCTAACTCAAACCAGGCCTCTTGGAAGAGAGTCTTGGTGAAGACAAAACTGGTGTGTTTTCTCAAATATAAAATATTTCAGAGGAAATAGAATATCCCACTCTTGAGACAGAGAAAGGACTAGATATCTTGTTCCCAATCTTCTATCTCCAATAATGATGGGACATCTTGATGGAAAAATCAGAGAAACAAAATCTATCTAGTGGTACTCTGTTTCACATTACTTTACAAGAGGGCAACAACACAGATGTATTGCCCATATTTCCCTAGCACCCAGGTTTAAGGAAGGACAGAAGGGGAGAAGGGATGAGAAACTGCCCATAACTGCCATCTGCAATTTCTCAAACCTAAAGTGTAGGGTGGGGTGCAGGAGCCCTCAACTCCTGCTTTGTTCTTATAACCCTTTTGATTCCTATTTCATATTTCCTTTTTTTCCCATTGGGCTTTGCCTCATGAGTACTCATCTCACTGTCTCATTGATTTATCAGATCAAATGCAGGGGTATTTTTAGTAGACTGGAAAGGAACACCTACCCCATGCATATATACATGCACTATGCACAGGTGTACAGATATTATCTATTCATACACATGCACGTTAACAGATATTTGTGTACACACAATGAAAATGTACACACACATGTAGCCACATTTATACACATTCACTTCATTGACACTCAAACCCCTCTGCTTTTGGAAACCATTTCTTCCCCTCAGGTTCTTCCCTCTTTTTTTTTTTTTTTTATCAGCTATATACTCTTCCAAGGAGAATGATAAACTTATGACAAATAAGAGAAGGTGCCACTCAACCCTGTAGGTAATAAACATATGGCACTTACTTTGAAAATACCAGCAAAAAAATGTAGGTGGATTTGAAAATATTCCAAACAAATTTATGAAAGAGCCAGAAAAGGCAAAGAACCTGAGACAGCTAACCATTGAGGACATCAGTGAGCCCTGTTCCAGGAAGGCACTGGAGCAAGGTTGTAACTCAAGAGATTCTAATACTTCCACAGAAATAATTCCTATAGTAGATGGAGATTATTAACAGGCCCCATTTAATGGCCAATCTGTACTCATACCCCTTTCTCTATAACTATGTAATCTCCTCCCACTCCAGCTCTGGACTTGGTCATTTGCCCTGCCTTGGCCAAAGAGATGTTGGAAGAAGCTTGACAAGAGCATGCAAGCTTCCGCGTGCCCTCATGCATGACTGGGTTTGGACACTCTTGCACCGTGACACTGCTATGAGAACACACTAGAGTAGTCCATCCAAAAATGAACAGTCTATGCAGTTGAGGCAAGTGGCCCAAGCCAAGGTCATCCTACGTCAGCTGAAAGCCAGTTGATCTTTCAAGAGAACATCTTAAAGACAGGAAGTACAATTCATCCTCAATTGTTGATTATAGACTTGTGAGTTAAATCAATGCCTGTGTTAAGCTACTGAATATGGGGGTGACTTGTTACATAGCATTATTTGCAGCAACAGATAACTGACACAGAAATTATTTAGAATCAGGGTACTGTAACAACCTAAATTAAAAAATGTGGCATTGGCTTTGAGACAAGGCACTGGACAGAGGCTAGAAAAACAGTAAGAAAACTACTCTAGAAGGATGTAAAAAATGACATGGGTTATATAGCAGCAGAGAAAACAATGGTAAAACTACCTCATTTGATCATTCAGAAGATAGAAAATGTACTAATGAAGTTTGGGATTCAAGCAGTAACATTTCCAGGCAGAATGTTCACAGTGTCAGTGGCTCTTACTACCTGCATATCGATAAGGTTCTACAACAAAGAGAAGGTTTAGAGAAGTAACTGAGCAGTGTGTAAGCAAATTTAGAGGGACTATAATGGCTAGAAAATAAAATTGTTTCTTATCTCATGTTATAGGATAACATAAAATGTTATCTTATCCTAGCCAGGACCTCATGGCTAGAAAATAAAATTGTTTATCTCAAGTCCTCCAGTTAGCAAAAGTTCTCAAAGTAAAATACATCCTGGGGCAAGTATCCAATCAAATATTTTTAAGACTTTTTATTATGACCTCTGAAAGAAAGAACCTAGCAGATCCTTTATGCTAGACAAAAGGGCTATTAGAAATCTTAAGAGCATTGTCCTACAGCAATCTGACTTGCCCAAATATGTGACTAAGTTTTGAGATCTAGCTCTGAAAGTATCGTAGGTGTTGCTTTTGGCTCATCAATTTATAAGAAACCCACAAAAAGTTTGAGGGTACTGTATTGCCAAAAGTCTCCCCAATTTATACTAAAAGAAACTGAGATTGTCAAAATTGTTAAGAAAACCTCCAGGCTTTCCATTTCCACAAGCAAAAAGCAGACTGAGAATACTGTCCAAAGCACACAGAAATGGCTAGGCATGGTAGAAAAGTAAAGATATCCCAGATGTTAGAGCACAGAGCTACACAAAACAATGGACTGGAAAGTCACTCTCAGGGAGAAATGAGGCCTGATCAAGGAACATTCCACTCCTCTGAATTGGCAGTCCTGGCAGCATTTGCAAGGCTAGACTTCAGAGTCACTATAAACTAGTGCCTTATAAGTGTATTCCATTCTTCCTCTTTTTAAATGGGATAATAGTGTACTACAATTATCCTGTTCTTTCTTACCTCAGTTTATTAGGTTTGGGGACAAATAGCTTGTTTGTTTGTTTTTTTCATTCATAGATCTTCAACGCAAAGGAACTGCATCCAAAGAGCCACATTTGGATCTGTTAATACATGTTGAGATCCTGGACCTTGAGCATGATGTTGTGATTGATGGGATCTTTAGGGATCTTGGGAAGAAGTATATTTTGCATACAGGAATAAAATGAATAGTTGAGACCAAAGTGTGGACATTTCACTTCTGTATCAGTTTCCATTCCAATTTCTGTATCAGTGTTCTATTGCCACACATAACACTACATAACAGATGACCCAAAACTGAATGGCTTGAAACAACAATCATTTATTTAGCTCACAGATTTGTGGGTTTGTGATTTAAGTTGGGAATTTCTCCTGATCTTGGTTGGGCTCACTTGCATGTTTTCTAGGTCAGCTGGGATGTTTCCAGTGGTGACTGGCTTGGGGCAAGCATGTCTCAACTGACCTCAGCCATGACAAATCTCTCCTCCACAAGTTTTTCTCATCCTTCCAGGAGATTAGACTTAGCATAAGGTCGTGATTCTGATGGTGAAAGAAGAAAGTATGATTAAGATCATGATTATGAAGAGCAGCAAGAGAGCAAGCCTCAGTGTATTTTTCAACCCTCTGTGTGCATCACTCTTGCTAACAACTGATTGGCCAAAATAAGTTAATGATTGAGCCCAGAAACAAGGAATGGGACCATCAATATAATCAACCTACCATAATTCCTAAACTATCTTCTCTGGAAACCAGCGTCCCACAGATGTTTTAAGATGTTCCACTGAAAAAGAATTCTGTGGTCATACAGATTTGTGAAATGCTGCTTATTATTTCCTCAGGTGAGTCACAGTCCTCATTAAGTTATTAAAGACTCCGAGAATTCTTATGTCTGTTCACCCTAGTTTAATTGTTCTCTACCACACTAATTTAATCATGAAACACATTAACCACAGAAAACTCTGAAACACAGCTTACACAACATCTATTCCTGAATCAGTCTGAGAAGCACTAGTCTAAGTTATGAAAACTCCTTGTAATAACTGCATTACAATAGAGAGATTTAGGAGACCCAGAAGCTTTCATGGTAGAGATAAATAAACTGCTCATGGTAATTATTCTCTCTGTTCCTAGATGAGAAAACCAAAATCAGAAAAGTTAAGCAAGCTTCACAGAAAGAGAGCAGAGCACCAAAGCTGGGATGCATATCCATATCTGCCTGCTTCCAAACTCCCATCATCTTTTTATCTCCCTACCTGTCAACGGTGGAATGTCAGACACCATGACAAATGGCAAGTGAAGCAGCACATGTTGACAGTCTTATACTTGAAAAAATCTGTTTTAGTACTGGCTTTGCCACTAAGTGATCTTGAGTGGGTCACAACCTTCTTAACAGAGTATATTGGAAATATCATTTTTTAAGAAAATTTTTCCTCCCTTGTAACCCAAAGAATCTGGAAAATATTCTGATGAACAGTTCTCTGGGACACAAGAATCCTCAGGCTTTCCCATCTGCCACCATAAAGATGACCGAAAACTTACTGCCTTATCATTAATCTGGTCCTGAACATAATAAATTCATTTTTTAATCTGTTTATTTCAATCACTTAAGATATTCAAAATATCCTTCTAGTCTGAAACTCTTCCCTTGCCCTTTCTCATTTTCCAGTGAAATCTCGGTGATGTATTCCACTGAGGGCATATTAATATTCTGAGGAGACACAATACCTGTACTGCAGACACTAATTTTAGAACATTCATCACCGAGGATGGTTTTCTTCTTCCTGTCCTAATTTTTTTTTTCAGTTTGTCAGCGTGTTGGACTACATTAAGCTAGGCGGTGACTTTCCTTTATTAAACATTTCTTTCCTGAAGGCTTGCCCTTTGTTAGGAATGGCAGGAGGCCCAACAAAGGGAGAATCCAGAGCCCTTGGATGCACTGAGCTTGCCCTCTAACTGGGGAGATAAAATTTGGAGCAACAGGAGACCACACAGAAGGTACCAACCGAACGGGAGAAACAAGGTCACTTTGTCAGGGAAGCTATTTTACTGTTATGGAATCCATCTTGGCTTTACTTCACCATTGTGCTGAGGCAATGAGGTGAACTGGTCCCCAAATCATTTCCAACTCTATGATCTAATGTCTGGTTTGGTACAGCAGCACCCGCAGCACCACACCACGCATTCAGTGAAATACTTTGGCTTGCAGGAAATATCCAAAATATATTTGACTCTCCTGTTCTCCTGAAAAAGCAATATGATTACTATCCTTTTATTGCCACCAGTCTAACAGTATATACTAGGGTTGCTTCTCCTTCCTTTAGGGAGGGAGGGCCTCCAGAGCTGGATTTCTCCACCTGGGCACTTTTGACATTTTGAGCTGGATACTTTGTTGTGAGGCGGTCCTGTGCATTGTAGGATGTCTAGCAGCTCTAGATGCCCACTGGATGCTAATGACAACCCCCACCCCTGATGTGAAAATAAAAAAGGACTCCAGACATTGCCAAATGTCCCCTGGCGGGGGGGGGGGGGAAGACAAAATCTCTACTGGATAAGAACCACTGCTCTAAAGTATGGTGGGGAAGGAAATCCTAATTTTTGTGTGTGTGAAAAATGGATACCACTGAGCTTCCCTCTAAGTAACATCCTGAGCTTCCCTCTAAGCCCTTGTGTGCAGTTGGAACTTCACATCAAAGACCCTAATCTGGCAGCTGTTCTGTATCTTTTCCACTTGTCTTCCACCCCCTAATATCTTCTGCCACTCTACACACAAGGCTTTTGAGCTCTTTATTGGGCTTCCAATAGGGAGTACATTCTCCAGGTTTTAATGACAACCAATCTTGAGCAATTTGGGACACATTTAGTGGCAAAATTGGGGAAGACTCCCATGGCATGTCATGGCATCACATTCAAAAGTCTTGCTTCCCAGGATGGTGAGCCAGGGAAATGTATCGAAACATGCATCCTCCAGTTCCTCCTCCTTCAGGGAGGATTCTCTATGGACTCAGCTGAGCCCACTTCAAGACCTCCACTCCTACTGAGCTAGGGTCAAACTAAGAGTCTTAAGTCTGGAGTCTCAAAAAGGTATATCATTTGTTTTAAATCATAAAGCTAGCGGATGGGAGAGCCAGGATGTGAAGGTGGGTTTATCGACCCTCAAACGCTCAGGCTCTTTCCTTCACCACCACACAAATGCATTCCTTCAGGAAAAACAGAGAGAACTGGGAACACCACGGGGTGCCTGGGTGGCTCAGCCGTTAAGCGTCTGCCTTCGGCTCAGGTCATGATCCCAGAGTCCTGGGATCGAGCCCCGCATTGGGCTCCCTGCTCCGCGGGAAGCCTGCTTCTCCCTCTCCCACTCCCCCTGCTTGTGTTCCCTCTCTCGCCGTCTCTCTGTCAAATAAATAAAATCTTAAAAAAAAAAAAAAAAAGAATTGGGAACACCATGAAAGGCATTTCACATTTTCCCCCACCCCTCCTCCCACAATAGTACACACAGACATGATTGTATGCCTACACACCAGATCAACAGTGATATTCATCTAAAAAACATATAACGCTTGCCATGTGTCAAGTACACCCTTACAATAACCAACAGCAAATACTCTCTTTCCTTTTAATTAGCAGCTTTCAGAAGCTGTTTACTTTCCATCAACCTTATTTCTACTTTCTGTTTAGAGTCAGTAGTCGTCCCCACACTCAGGCCTGAGCAGTGGGAGCTGCAGACCAGGCCTCAGCAGGGAACCAAGGGTCCGAAGCGCCCGGAGGGCACCGGTGCAACTTCAGACCCCACCACCACCTCGGGCTGAGTAGCAGTGAACTCTGGAGCTGGGGCTGTGCATTCGGCCTGAAATTCCTCCTTGCTCACAGCCTTTCCAGCAGCAGCCAGGTCTTCCTTGTCAGTCTCTTCAGGATCCCTGCGGAAGCAGAGAGCTGGTGTGACTTCCCGCCAGAGCTCACGGGAACCCGGACCACACGTGCGCAGAACTTCCCAGCCGGCCTCTGCCTCCTCAAACCCACCGAGTTCCCTCCCTATGGTTGCGCAGGACGGCCACGTCCACGTCGGTGGAGGAGAGTCTGTCACACAGAGTGAGGGCAGGCAGGTTAACCTGAGATGCCTCTGGAGAGGATGGTGGTGAGCACTGGGAGCAGGAACCACCAGAAGTCTCAGCTCTGGAAGGCTGCCTGGATCGGGTTATGGACGGAAGGTTCCAGCAATGAAGCAGCTGGCAGCAGGAGTGGCTCCAGGGGCAGCCGCAAACTTCAGCACAGCCTGCTCGTCAGTATTCCGAGGGATGTGACATGACATCACCGGGTTTTCAGTGGCAACAAGGGCAACAATGGCACGAGCTGCCAGCAGAGCTTCTCCCAGGCCGTCTTCAGATTTATGGTGTAGACGCCATTTTCCTTTTGTAGATACCGATCCGTTTGGAAGTCAAGGTTGGTGCCGTCTAAGTGGATTCCTGCTGTAAGAAATTTAAGGAGATCCCCTCCTTCACTTGTAGGACATCAAGGGCTCCAAATAAGTCACGATGAAAACTCAGAACAACTCTGTATGGTACCTGCTCTAGGGGTAATGCAGAAAGGCTCTTTATTCCTATTTAAAGGTCGAGTAAATAGAAGCACAGAGATGTTTGTGACTTGACCAAGATCACACAGTACTATGAAGCAGGACCGGACAAGTTCCAGGATGCTTTAATTACTTGCTAGTCCTTTGGACAGAAAGAAATGAGAGTTTGGTATTAACCTAGTGGTCCAGAGTTGTCCAAAGTAACAGAACCAATAGATAGGAGATATATATAAGAGAGGAATAAGAGGAAGAGGGAAGCAGATCTGGTTTAAGTTATGGTCCATGCAATTACGAAGGCTAGCAAATTCAAAATTTGTAGGGCATGTCAATGGGCTGGAAATTCAGGATGATACTGTTTGCAGTTTTGCCACTGAAAAACTGCAGGACAGGCCAGCAGGCTGGAAACTCAGGCAGAATTTCTATGTTGGAAGTCCTGATGCAAATTTCTTTTTCTTTGGGAAACCTGTCTTTGCCCTTGTGGCCTTCAGATTGGATGGAGAATAATCTGCTTTTGCTGAAAATCCGATTTAAACATTAATACATCTAAATAATACCTTCACAGCAATACCCACACTAGCGTTTCCCCAAACTCTAGTGCACTAGTCTAGACAGAGCGCAACAACCTATTCAAGTTGACACTTAAAATTAACCATCATCACCCCATGAAACAAGAATAAGGCAGCAGTGTTGTTCTTAGCATCCAGGGAATGCTCAAAGGGAAGCTAGCCCTTTCAATTCCAGCAGGAAGGAGGCGCTGTGCTCAATGCATCAAAGACAAGAACAAAGCAGCCTGAAAGGCACAAAGAGGATTAGCACAAAGACTAGAAGCAATGTGTTGAAAGCCAAGCACATTCAGAAAAGTGACAGCCCATGATGCTGCAGGAATGAGCAAAACAGTATGACTTCCTTGAAATCCATGCTTGCGAATTAGATCCCACTTATTTTAGGTAAGTCTCCATGTTAACAGATAAGGTTTGGCACAGTCATGGAAATAATGTGGTTTTAAAGAGCTCTGAAAACCTGCTTCCCACCTAAAACTCTTCTATGATCCCAAATGGCTTTTAAGTGTGTTCACTGATGGTAAGCACATGAAAATACACACTGAGCTCTTGCAAATGTTCCATCTAGAGACAGGCACGTGGGGACTGAGCATAAGTTAACAAGCTTCCTTTGCAAGTGGGATTTCCACTGCCTACAATCCCTTCTAGTGCTGTCTGCATCCCTGGCTTGGTTTCAGAGGTTTTATGTTGTTGAGGTTTTTTTGGTTTTGTTTAATATGTTTTCTCCCTAATAAAAATGATTAGTGGAGAGAGGTCCTGAGTGCTGGAAAAATACATTGTAGGGTGTTATGTATTAAAAACTGGCTTGGGATCCAGGTGTCAGCTTCTTCTTACAACTCAGCTCAGAGCTAGTTCCAATTCTCTTTTCTATGTTCACACTGGCCTCTGGAGAGCAAAATGTCCATGTGTAGTGGTTTTGTGAAATGCTTAAGTGGTACAAGAAAAAACAACAACAAAAGATGACTCAGTTGTTCAAGAGAGAGATCATAGTTCCAAAATATATTCCCATTTCTCTTCCTTTGCTATCTGACTTTGGGCACTCAAGTACTCTATGCCTCAGTTTATCCACCAGCAATATTCAACCAGTAATAACATTTGTCTGCCTTCTACCTAATAAGTAATAAATCAGGTTGCTGGAACACTTTGTAATCTTAAAGAATATAAATCAAGCACAGCAAAATATAGAAACCATCAATATCATCACCTTGGGTCAAAAGCAGGATTTAAATTCCAGGCTCTAGTGATGAAAGGCTAGTGGGTGGAAATGCTGTCAGCTGGCCCATAGCTCTTGTCTCCATGTTTAACATGTTTGCCTTCAGATCAACGAGTCTTTAGTGAAAGACAACCTCACAGTACAGTAGCATTATTATAATAGCAGATTGACAAAAATGGAGACAGATGGCTGCTCAGTGGCAGGTTTTTAAAATGAATTTATTGTTTATGAAATGTGCTAGATTGATGGCGCCAGTGACTGAGTCTGCCGCTTAAAAAGAGAGATTGAAGGAGACAAGGACAATGACCTGGGCAGCCCCTCCATAATCCCCTACCCAGTCCCAGGCAGGAGGCTTGGGCGAGCTGCCAAGTCTCCAAAAGGGAAACAGTATTTGAACTCATGGCGACACTCACTGTGGAACAAGAGAACAGATGCAGCCCTGTGTACTCCTCACATTGACAGAGAAAATGCCAGTGAGTGCCAGTTGTGTGAGGATGGAGAGGGATCGGGGCTCTTCTCCTGGTGATTGTCATGTGTTCATTTCTTGGGAAACAGCATGGCGCAGGGGTTGAGATAATGCCTTCCTCCAAATAGAAGCACCAACTGAATCCATGAGGTACATAGGCATTAGAGCATAATGCTTAAAGAGCTGGTGACTCTTCTCATCAAATCTCCCGAGATTTGACAAGTCTTCCAACCACCATTTCTTCCAATTCTATATATTCTTTAGTTAGTCCTCCCAGGATTCAGTGAGTTTTTATGATGTCCTCCTTTCATTACATCAAATGGCCCCATTCTGTTTTCTGAGCTGTTTTCTTGAAGGAGGCTCAGATTTCAGTAAAACACTCCAGTATGGTACTCTCCCCCTTGGCACTTCTGAGGCACCTCTAGCACCTTTTGTCAGGCACTGTGAGTCAGTGACATAAAGAAAAATCACATCCCAGCAAAAGTGACTATAAACCAAGGAAAGCTAGGTCCTACAAGTGCCAACTGGCTGAGAGCATCCACGATGTTCCCTTAACTGGTTGACCTGTTCCACTGTCCTTTTGCTGACTACACACAAGGTTCAGGACCATACTGGATTTGTATATGGTACCATAAAAGTATTCCTGGATAAGCTGCACTAAATGGGCCAGTGTTGAATAGTTTATGACTGTAACCTTAAAAAACATTGTGGTTTGACACTCAAGAGACAACAGCAATCCCCGTGAAGCATGTAAGCCATGCACTCTGACCCTTTCTGGCAAGCCTTGAATACCTACCCGCCCATAGTCCCTGTCTGAGGGGCTCGCCATATATGGAGCACTGTCCCTGATGCGGCCTAGTACAAGCTCTCTGCACACTGTGCTGGGGCCTCTGCTGGATGTGGCCAGCCAATCCAGTTAGAGCCCTTCTTGAAAAGCTGGACAGTGGGATCTACCGAAAGAGCCATCAGAAAGGAAGGACTCCAGACGCTGAGATATATCCCAAGACCAGGCACCAAGCAGAAGCTGTGAAATTGGAAGAGAGCAAGAAGTCAGTCAATGGGACAGCAGAGGCAGGCCAAACTTGCTGTCACCACAGTGATAAAGCAGATCAAAGAAAAATCTCTCCTGCTCTCCTAACTGAGTGACCTGGCATGAGGCCCTGCTCCATGGCCAGTGAGCTGGTTTCCAGTCTCCCTGCCTTTCCCTGTGTATTTTCTATTTCTTAACTGACTTAACCTCAGTAGGTTCCTGTTGCTTGCATCTCACCACAGGTATTATCTCACTGTAGCCTGGGTCAACTAAATGTAAGGGTCAATGTACCCACCTTGATGTGGATTTATAATAGCTATCTTTAGTGCCAGGGTGAATCTCCAGGTGGCCTGTGGTCAGAGGAAGACTTACTTATCCATTTCTTTATTAAGGCATTCAGGAGTCTTGAATGCCTATTATGTGCCAAGCAATGTGCCAGGCACTACAGATACAAAGGAAAATTAGAAATGGACCTCAATCTCGAGAGCATTCACAGAACTTGAACTAAGTCCATGGTTTTCTGATTGTTTGGCAGCTTGCATAATCAAAGGTATCCCATCCTCATGTCTCTGGTCAGAGATTATGAGACGAACTCCACTGTTAAAGAAACACCACCACTGCCAATGAACGTAAAGACAGCTGAGAAAAGAAAATGAGAGCTAAACATCTAAAGCAAATGATTGAAAGGTCAGCTCTTTGACTCGCATCCCAACAAAAAGGATCAGCAGAAAAAAAGACGAAAGCACTACAAGAGTGCAGGAACACTTTTTAATCGTATGTTTGTGATACAAACGCAATTCCAATCTGCCCAGGTTTGGTCAGTAGGCAGGAGAAGGAGGGCAATGTAGGTTCCTATTGAGAGTCAGAGGAAGCCTGGGTCAAAAGAAAAATATAAAAAGGACTGTTTTTCCCCTGGGAATATTCTAAGGGAGGAAAAAGCTGCTGTTAGCCCCCCAAAAATGCTTTTGTGTGAATTAGAACAAGATGCGTCCCATGACAAAGCCCCATGCCAGCACTTATGCCCTAGCAAGCAGAGTATAAGATGCATTTCCACCTTCATTTCTCCTCTTGGCAAGGTGTCCTTGTGCAGTTAACAACCTACAAACCTTTACATGGCAGAGAGAAGGGAGGAAGCAGAGAAAGAGACAAAGAGGGTTAAGAGAGTCGTGCAGAGAGAAACAAGCTTAGAGGCAGGATGAAATGGAGAGGGACGGATGGAAAAAGTAAGAGAAGGAAAAGCAGAGAAAGGAGGGAAGGAAGATGAAGGGACACTCTCCAGAAAGAGTGAGACAGACAAAGGGGGCCAAATGTTTTACACTTGTTTCTCCATGGCCAGTCAAGGCTTGGTAGCGATGGAGAAACCAGGCCAGGTAACTACTTTAAAATATTCAATTCAGTTTAAATCAACAGACCTGTCTTAAGGACTGACTGGTGAACCATGTGGTTAAGGCTTGGAAACAAATCTGGGTGACCAGCTTCCTGTCCCAAGTGGCCTACTGCCGGCTGCAGAGAGCACAGAATAAAAGAAAATGTCTACCAACTGCTCTGAGAGCACCAAGGAACACATGATTAATTCTGACCAGAAAGACCCACTTCAGGCAAAGTAATGGAAGTCTCATGACTCTGTTAGGCAATTGAAAAGTTGAGCATTTGACCAGAAGAAAACCAGCCAACCACCCACCCACACACACACCTATCAAACAATCAATAGAACCCTTGCCTCTAAGGCACATATTATTGAGTTGCTAGAGACGTCATTAAAATGCCAGATGTCTCATCAGGCATTTTTGAGTATCATAATTTTCTGTTAAAAACAAACAGTTGATCTGATTCAACCCCCTCCACTACCACCACCACAAAAGAAATTCTCTCTCACCTACCCCCATCTGCCATGTGGCCTGATTTGGGAGATTCCTTTAGTAGTCTGGGGAGAATCTCCTTATAGCACATGACATTTCCTAGATCAGCACCTCAATTACCAATTTAGAATCTTCCAAGCAACTGGAACTTAGAAACGTTTTTTTAAGATTCTCCAAAAACACCTTAAAATAGACCTGGTCACTGTCAGTTCAGTTCCTTAACTGAGGAAATACCTAACAGCCTACTGAGAGCTAAGCCCTATGCACATTAGCCCAGAATCTGTAGATGTTCGTCAGGAAGAGAGACACTGAAAGGGAGGTGTACGAAAAATAAAACCCACCTGCTGCATGCTTTCATCACAGCTAGTGCCCCAAAGGTCATGTCCTCATTTTTTGGTTCTTTCAAGCATTTATTCAACACATATTTACTAAGTCCCAGCCTGCGTATTAAAGACTGAGTCAGACTCTGCAGATATTGCAGTGACGGAGAAAGAGGTAAATCCTGCCCTCCAGGAATTTACAGTCCCATTACACAAAAAATGACACAATTAACTAATGATTTAGTAAGCAGTATTACATAGTAACCACAAGTGTAACTGAGCCCAAGTACAGGGCTGTAGGCAGGCTTAGTGTAACTGGGGTATTTGAGATAGGAGAACGGAAAAGGAGTTAGCCAGACAAAGAATTAGGAGAAAGCAGACCAGGAAGAGAGAAACACCACGCAGAAAGCCATGTAGCCAGCAGGCTCCCACCCAGATCATGAGAAGTACCGGGGAAGATGTAGGGGTTAAATCATTGGGCTTTGGAAGGCCAACTTAAGGGTAACCTCTATTTACTCTTTTAGACTGAGTCATGGTTTTTCTCTTTGTCTCAGTTGTCTAAATCTAGAAATACCGGAAAGAAATACTTGATCTCTAGTGTGTGAGCTGGCTGCAACGTGTAGGTCCATTCTAGAGATGCCAATATAAAGAAGTAAACTCTCGAGTTCCAAACCACAGGATGACACAAGGCTCCAGTAGCCCTCTCTACTTCCCAGCTCCAAATAGAGCTGCTGCACTACCCAAGAGACCCCTCTGCTTCTCTTGGCAACAGAATACATAGCTCCCAGTATCTCCCATTAGCCTGAGCTTCCTGACAGCTCTCCCAAGGCCGCCCTGCTTTTCTGTGGGAACAGAGCACAGCCTCTTGATGTTAACATCATCCATTCCTTCTAAGAAGGTTAAGGAGCACAAATGGCTTTATTATATCCTTTTTGGGTCTATACTCCTGCCATTTAATCATTTTAATTCCTTTCCCATTCATTAGAAGAGAGGAATGCTAAGAGGGGAGAATCCCAGAATTCATACAAGTTTGAGTAATAGCCTTACAAAAAAAAAAAAAAAAAGGATTTCAATTCCGCTTCTCTAGTCAGAGTCAGCTAATGGCACACAATGGAGGGAGACGAGGTGTTCCTCTAACATTTACAATACGCAATTTTGTAGCCAGCACAAGAAATAGGCAGAAATCTTTATGTTTCTAAGATTGCTGGAATTTCAGGTACGGTGGAGTCCAGAGATGGGAGATGAGTTCTGTCCTGGATTTAAATTCTGTTTAATTGGCAGTGGTGATTGAGAGCATACCCTTGATGCCCTTGATGATTCTGAAACTGCACAGGTCTCAGCAGGCAGGTCTGTGTGGTCAGCCCAAGGCAGGACATGGGAGTAGTGAGTCACAGCAAATGTGCGACACATTTCCCATCCCTGGCAGAGGGCTTTAGAGAACTCACTGGCTTTTGAGTTTGACAGCCTAGAGTTGAATTCTGGCTTAGCTACTTACCAGGTTACAATCTTGAAATTAAAAGAAGGCCATGGAAGGTCAAACATTAGATCTTCAAGACCCCATCAGAGTAAGTTACTACCATCTGCTCTGACCAGAGGAAAATTTCCCCAATCCTCACTATCCTATGCACACAAACACAGTCACCCAAACAGTAATGACCCATATTTGGTTAGTTTGTGGCCCCCATCTGCTGTTGCAGGATCAATTGCCCTTTAGAAATTCTTCACATCTCAAGTCCTTCCATAGGTCTCTACAGGGTAGGTCTGTTCCTGCTAGTGTCACGGGTCTGCCAGGCTTAAGTGATACTGCCATTCCCAGAAGTATCCCATTTCCCTCCAGAATTTGTCAAGGCTAAATGGTCCCCACCAGTCCCATTATTTGTCTTAGAAGTGCATTGGGTACCACTGCTCCTCTGTCAGGTAACACTTCTCAGTACTAAGCTATGCTGAGATGTGCAGTGAAATGAGTGTATTAGATAGAATTTTAAGAATGACCCACCATGACTGTCACCTTTGCGTCCCTTCCCTTTTGAGTGTGTGTGGAATCTGCAGACATGATGAGATGTCACTCCTGCGATTGTTACCTTATATGGCAAAGGAAAGATTATCCAGATGGGCCTAATTTAACCTACTGAACCCTTTAAAAGCAGAGTTTTCTCCAGCTCATGGCACAGGGAGAAGTCAGAGAGAGATGAAACACAAGAAGGATTTGATATATTGTTGCTGGCTTGAAGATGGAGGGGCAACAGGGGGAGAAACGCAGGTGCCCTCTAGAAACTAAAAGTGGCCCCTTGCTAACAGCCAGACAGATAACAAGGACTTCAGACCTTCAACCACAAGGAACTGAATTCTGTCAAAACCTGAATGAACTTGGAAACAGACTCTTCCCCAGAGTCCTGAGGTGGGAGAGTGCTTGGTAAGCCTAAGGACTGACATTGCTGGAGAGGCAAAATCTTTCAAGCAATAAAGACCCCTGACCTAGCAACCAGTCTGTATGTATCCAGACTGGCCAGACACCTTGACTTCAGCCTTGTGAGACCCTAAGCATAGAACCCAGCCATGCCTGCCTGGACATCTGACCTACAGAACTCTGAGATTATAAGTGAGTATTGTTTTAAGCTGCTAAATTTTAGTAGTATATTACAAAGAAATATGAAACTAGTACATGGCAAAAGGGAGAAACAGTCCTCTCTATTCAGGAGCCCCACAGCAGTGTTCTTTGGCATCCATAATTTACAGTTCAGGAAATGGATCTTTCAAATTTCCAAGAATCAGACATGTATCCAATGGGTATTGGGTCTAAAGATAAT